GAATCATGAAGTTCCTGACGAATGTTATAAACTCAATAAAAGTCAGGAATATACGTGAAAGAATAATGAAAAAATATTTCAAGTTATTTACAATGTTGGTATCCACGATCGGCTTAGTGACTAATTTCGATGAAGCAAGCAAGGCCGATTTTGAAACATTTTTTCTCGGTACAGTAAACTCCGTTCACTTTTCCTTATTATTGAGAGTCTTAAACGTTTGTGAATTCTTTTCTGGTCTATCTAAATGTGTTTTAATTTGTATCTGTGCGGCTTCCTTGAACTTCCGATTAAACTAGTGTCATTCCTTCTGTATTCGCACTATTTCATGTATTGGTAACTCCAGATGTGTCGATTTGGTGGCTCTTGATGGATGTCCTTTTTGTGCCCTTCAATCCGCACATTCTATTGCCTTTCAGTTCCATCGAGGTAATCTCATCACATTCTGTAGGTGTTCGTGATGTTGCGGATTGGGTATATGGATAGATTAACGGGTATCCTTCAAACCTAGTGGATGATTCATAATAATTAGGAAAACAAAAATCAAAGTGTCTCCGTGAATCTTACATTTTTCAGAAAGACGAAGACTCAAAATTTATAGTTCTTCCAAAATACGCCTATGTATTTGTTCAGATTTTTTGAAAAATTGAATATGAAGGTGGCTTTAAAAACTATTCGTGCACTTCAACAAGTGTGGAACATCTCGACATACAAGACTACGGGATATAGTAAGGGATTAACGAAGTTGGGCGGTGATCATTGCGATAAAAAGTATGTTGTTCAAATTAAGCGGACTATAATAGATCCCTACAAGGAACGAATGTTAGAAATATGTTTAAAATATGTTCTTCTATTAACTAGCTGTCTCATCCCTCTGAACGACAAGCCTCAGAATTCGAAACTTGTGCGAGCTAAGGACTAACGAGGTCTTACCTTGTAACGTGTGATTCCTAACACAGAATAAGTATGTTTCACATACTTATTATGTTCCACAGACCAGAAAAATCTATCGTTGCTCAACATGTCATGAAGGAGTCCACATAATAAGTGAGGAATGCTCGAAATTGTTGCGACCGGTACATGACGAGTTTTTATATAGGTACTTTCGAAAAATGTGGAATGAGATCTCTGAACGGCGACAAAGGTCCGTTTCTAGGGTATGTGTTCACTCTCTTACGTAATTGCAGGTAGAAAACATGTGAAAATTAGGTATTAATCAGGTAGCAAATAACAGGAATCAATTTAAATGAGCTTCATTATGCAAAGTACATATAAAAACATGGATTCAGCAGAATTTAGTTTTAGTTATTCCCTGATGATGTTAACTTGTTTAGTGAAACGCGTGTCAAAATGCAGAGATATCCTATTTTTGTTCTGGTTTGCGACAAATAGTTTCGATAGAGTATCTCATTAAAGAAACCTATCACAATTGTGAAAATAAACACGGGTATGGGTATTTCAAGTTTGTTCGATAGGTATAGGTAGGTATATACCTACCTATGCCATTCTCACCATTCGGTATTTATAATATGTTGTGATATAGTCTTAACAATTTTTAATTATTCAATGATCTAACACTAACATCAAGCCAACTAGCAGCTGTGTTTTTCTTCATCCTTATTCCTTATACCTACGTGTTCCTTGTCAGCGATACCAATATCACAAATACCAACCTAAACCTAAACTTTGGTGTTTATTTGGAAATATTGATTATAGTATATCCAATTTTATTTAACATCATTAGAAAGGTAGGTATATACCTACCTATACCATTCTCACCATTCGGTATTTATAATATGTTGTGATATAGTCTTGACAATTTTTAATTATTCAATGACTTAACACTAACATCAAGCCAACTATCAGCTGTGTTTTTCTTCATCCTTATTCCTTATACCTACGTGTTCCTTGTCAGCGATACCAATATCACAAATACCAACCTAAACCTAAACTTTGGTGTTTATTTGGAAATATTGATTATAGTATATCCAATTTTATTTAACATCATTAAAAAGTTTCAAGCAAGTATTGAGACATATGTCTTCTTTCGGAATGTTTGTAGAGCATTGAATATATACCTTATAACTTATACTCATTTCTGTTCTTTGACGAGTTGTATCAGGTGGGGGCATAAACATAAAAAATAAATCACGACAAGCTACCAAAAATTTCATGTAAAAATAATAAAGAGTTTGCAAATAAACCTTCACAAATATAACATTTTATTGAAAAACTTATTTTCAAACATAGGTACTAAGATCCATGGACATAAAGACCTAAAATGGACTCATTATGTATGTACCGAGTACATTCATTCAACCCGGTAAGTGCATGAATTTACGTACTCATTAAGACGTAAAAATTTAAAATGGATCTAATACCTATGTATGTCAACGTATGTACCTACGTCGTGTGCTATATGGAAAGTCTCTTCAATTTTTTTTGATTGCTGCTTCAACAAATGTATGGTGTTGGTGAATATCAAATGCATGAGTTTCAATAGGTATCACCTAATATTTCATTATATCTAAACAATATTATATTGGGTTGTTTCGAAAGTTTTGTCCGTTTCAATGTCATGTATTTTTGTAGCTGCTTATCTCAATACATGTTTATTCTACTGTGACGTGGAGAATTTTGTACTGTTATTTTTTTCCATTTTTTTGCCTCTTTTCAGTTCATTACTATATGAAATCGTGAAGCGATTACGGCCAATTTTTCTCTACGACTTCAAATTGAACCAAACGCTGCATGGGATGGCGGAAGAACTGGGCATCAGCATCCATGCGGTTTTTAATGGTTTAAAACGTATTTGAAAGGTCAAAAAGCTCGAAAAGGAGGTGACCCACGATTTCAACGATCGACAGAATTTGTCACGTTTCGAGGTCTGTTCTTCATTAGCAACCAAAATGATCCTTTTCTGTATCGAATCATCACGTGTGATGAAAAGTGGATTCTCTACGACAACAGGAGACGTTCAGGACAGTGGTTGGATACCGATGAGCTACCAAAGGCGAAAACCCTCCAAAAAATTACCATGGTTACTGTATCGTGGTCAGCAGCTGGTGTGATTCACTATAACTTTCTGCAACCAGACCTTACCATAACAGTAGAGTCCTATTGTGAGGTATTCGATGAAATGTACCAAAAATTGGTACATGGGGTCAGTAGAAGAAGTCCGATTCTGCTACATGACAAGATGTTCAGGACAGTTGATGGACACCGATGAGCCACCCAAGCTCTTCCCAAAGACGAAACCCCACCAAAAGACCATAGTTACTCTATAGTGGTCAGCGAATCGTGTGATTCACTATAACTTTCTTCAACCGGGTCAAATCATCACAGCAGAGTCTTATTGTGATGAAATCGACGTAATGTACCGGAAATTGCTTCAGCAGCAGCCAGTGCTGGTCAACAGAAGAGGTCCGATCCTGCTCACTAACCGAAAATTGAAAGAATTGGGCGTCGAATTTCTGCCCAACCCAACATAATACCCAGATATTTCGTCAACCAACTACCATCTTTTCAAACACTTCGATAATTCTCTAATCGATAGAACCATCACCAATCAGGAGCAGGAAAAATCGACTCTCGTCGATTTTAGCGAATCCCAATCACGCAATTTTCATGCTGAAAATGGCCCAAAATGAGGAGAAGCGTCGGCACAAAGAGGGGAAATACGACTACCCCTTTGGCTTAATGTGCGTGTTTCGGGATAGACCCGCCAGCTTTGTTGATGGACACCGATGAGCCACCCAAGCTCTTCCCAAAGACGAAACCCCACCAAAAGACCATAGTTATTCTATAGTGGTCAGCGAATCGTGTGATTTACTATAACTTTCTTCAATCGGGTCAAATCATCACAGCAGAGTCTTATTGTGATGAAATCGACGTAATGTACCGGAAATTGCTTCAGCAGCAGCCAGTGCTGGTCAACAGGAGAGGTCCGATCCTGCTCACTAACCGAAAATTGAAAGAATTGGGCGTCGAATTTCTGCCCCACCCAACATAATACCCAGATCTTTCGTCAACCAACTACCATCTTTTCAAACACTTCGATAATTCTCTTATCGATAGAACCATCACCAATCAGGAGCAGGAAAAATCGACTCTCGTCGATTTTAGCGAATCCCAATCACGCAATTTTCATGCTGACGGTAATAGCTCCTCTGCCTACACCGCTGCCTGAGTTCTCCTATGATATTAAGATAATAGGTGGCTATCTTGCGGACAATAGGTCGATAACGGTGGCACTACTTGCGGATCTATTGTCAGAGGGAGCTAAAAAATTACCCGAGACAGCCTTCACGGGGGCATTGGCCAGTCAAATGGGTATGATATTAGATCGGGCGGAAATGACCACGTTCGAGCTTGCGGTCAACTTCGCAAGATCCTGCGAGACGGCTGCTCACACCATCACTAAAGTGGTGATCGACTCGAGACATGTCATCAGGGCCCAAAATGAGGAGAAGCGTCGGCACAAAGAGGGGAAATACGACTACCCCTTTGGCTTAATGTGCGTGTTTCGGGATAGACCCGCCAGCTTTGAGTTGCAGAAATATTCGGATCTTGCCTACTGTGCTGTCTACAGGTAGTAGAAACTGGACTCTTGGAAGAACTACAACTTGGGCACCCTGGAGACATCCACGCCCAAAGAAACGTTGCACCAGAAGACCGCAATTCCCCTCAAAGCAGTTGCAGGAGGAGTCAGCAGATTCTCCCCGGAAGTCATAGAATGCCTCACAGAATATAACATTGAGGTTGATCCTGCAGCCGAACCTGACTTCACTGTGTGAATCACCTGTCATCCCATATAGCGGTTGATATGCGGGCCTCCGGAGAAGTCCTTATAATGATCTCAAATGACGGGTACTTTACCTTATTCGTATAGAAAAAAAAATTAGACTCATAAAAACAGACAAAACTATTGAAACAACCTAATAACAGTTTCAATGAAAACTCGTTTGATGACTCAATTTTTCACCAATATCTTCCATTTACAGCACTTTTTCTACTCGACAATAATACAGAAATCTGGTTATGGAAAGGACAACGAAGTACAACAAAGGGCGAAGACGACGAGCCAGATGATTTTATTAGGGTGTTTGAACAAGCAAAGATAACGGCTGATGGGTATGCCAAACTAAAGGAACGTATCATTGGCAAAACTGTTTCTATTTCATATGTCGAGGCTAGATCGGAACCTATACAATTCACGAATATTTTTCCCTATTGGAACACTGAGTGAATTTGACGGTCAGTTTGAGCTATTTTGGAAAAGATAACACGGATCATTTCTTATAAAGGAAACAACCTGAAAGTATTAGTGCTGCGTGATGAAAGTATTATTTTGGTGAAATTTCATTATGAATATTGTAGCAACAGTTTTGGTTTGAATATAATTTCCATTATTAACTAATTTTGCTTACTCACTAGTAGCCTAGATTATGAATGGAATAATAATATACACAATATACAAAAACAAAAATAATGATGAAAAGCGAAGTTCAGCTTGAGCTGTTTTCAAGGAAAATGAATCAGTTACTTACCCTTCTTATATATTGGGAAAGTCTTGATTGCATTAACCTCGTTCTCAGAAGTTGAAAAAATTCACATTTTTTCTGGGTAGAATGAATGATATGAAGATTCTTTGATCTTTATGATCACCCAGTGAATTTTCAGCAGATCCAGTGAAGGTAATAGCACAAAGACCATAATTAATAAATGAATTTATTACTTACTTGATGAAAATTAATAACACTATCCATGATAATAATGATGCAATTTTCACAAATCTGTTTGAAATCTGTTTTTCTGTCGCACCCCCAAGAACAACAACCCTCAGAAGTCGAAACTTGTGCGAGCTAAGGACTAACGAGGTTTTACCCTTCAACGTGTTTGGTGACAGCAAGTGAAAATCGATCGTTCAGCCTGGGGTTTGAACTACCGACCAACACGGCGGTCGATTTGAGTGAGTGAACAAAGCACCCACGTTGAACCGACCGGCTACCGTCCGACTGACATACTCAAATAGAATAAACATTTTATTTGTGAAAAGTGTAAATCTGTTTAAAATCTGTTTTTCTATGGCACCCCTAAAAACAACAACCCTTAGAAGTCGAAACTTGTGCGAGCGAAGGACTAACGAGGTCTTACCCTTCAACGTGTGATTCCTAACACGGGTTTGGTGATAGCAAGTGAAAATTCGATCGTTCAGCCTGGAGTTTGAACTACCGACCAACACGGCGGTCGATTTGAGTGAGTGAACAAAGCACCCACGCTGAACCGACCGGCTACCGTCCGACCGAAATACTCAAATAGAATGAACATTTTATTTGTGAAAAGTGCATAGTTATCATCATGGTTGGAATTTATTTATCATAAAGTTTTTGAAGTCAACTCCGTCATTTCTTGAACAAAAAATTTTTTTTAGTGGATAACGAACCGATGCCTCCTAGTTTCTTGACCTAATTATCTTGCTCTATGATAACAGGAATATTTTGAATGAGATTTTTTTGCCCCCCTGTACGTCAGAAACGGACGTGTAATCGAAAATTTCAAAGAACACGTCAATATTTATTTCGAGGGGGACTAATTCTGATATGGAAATCATACCCGAAACTTCACCCCCCTGCGGTCAGCAACTGTCCCCCCTATTTTTTTCAATGACATGGGGAGTCGAGTGATACATAATTTGAAAGGTCTTTTGTCCCTATATTACTTCTGTAATTCTGTAATTTTTTTCGAAATTGGTTCATTCGTTATTGAGAATTCAAATGTTGAAATTTTTATTACAAAATGATTATCAATGGCAACAAAATCAACTAATAAAGTGTTCGAAATGATCTTCATCCAGTTCCATATAGTCTACTTTCGAAAGCGTTCCTTAGATTATTGAAGATGTCCGGAGTCAGAAATCGGCATTCCTGAACGATTCTCTGTGGCAGGTCTTCTAGATTTGTAGAATTTATTTAATTATTAGTGAACGTTTTGAAATGGCCGACACTGTTAGTTTTTGTTGAATCTAGTTGTCGCAGAACATTTTTCAGACGAAAGTTCTTTCATGGTGAATGGTGAAGTGAATAGACATAATTGTCGTCACTGGAGCGACGTGAATCCTCATTTGGTGATGAAAACACATTCACAAACACCACAAAAATTGAATGTCTGGGCTGGCATTCTTATTAATAATATTGTTGGACCATTCTTCATTGAAGGTAATCTCAATGAAGACACACTTCAAGACTGTGTAGATTCTCTGATTACACAAATTTCAGAAAATGATGACAATTTAGTAGAAAATAAAATAACATTCCAGCAGGATGGTGCACTCCCATATTTTTATGTTCGGGTGAGACAGTTTTTGGACGAACGTTTTCCAATGCGTTGGATCGGCAGAAGGGGTCCAGTGGAGTGGCCTGCTAGATCATCCGATCTCACACCGATGAACTTCTTTCTGTGGAGATACCTGAAGTCGAAAGTGTACGGAACGCTTCCCAGAGTAGACTGTATTATTGTATGGAACTAGGTGGAGGTTATTTTGAACCATTTATCCGTTGATTTTGTTTCCACTGATATTATTTGTTGTTGATTTCCTCATTAAAATAAACGACAGGGAATTTTCTTTCTCAATTTGCTGGCCGCAAGAGGTGAAGTTTCGGGTATGATTTCCATATCAGAATTAGTTAAAATTGACGTGTTCTTTGAAATTTTCGATAACACGTCGGTTTCTGACTTACAGGGGGGGGTCAATTTTTCTTTGGAACGCCCTGTATATGAAACTGACAAATATACTAAATAATTCATTTTTATTTGTTCTACAGTTTCGGCTTCTAATATGTATAAATTATTTTTAATTGAATGGATAGGGCGAGAATAATACTTCATCACAATTTACAACACTAACATTTAATTCTAAGAGCTGTTTCGACACACTGGCTCAGAAGATTATGTGTTGTGTACATTTTGAAGTATTATTTTCACCCTACCCCTTCTTTTTATTCATTCCATCAATCAATGACCTGAGACTGGAATTTCATAAAAAAAATTGAAGTGATAATCAGGGAAATTTGATAATGTTGATCTCGTTTGTTAGGCAGAAATGCGTTAATTCGATTTGATTTTATTTCACTAACTATATAAGAAGTGAATAACGAAAATTCCATTAATAAAAAACGCACCGTAGATCAGAAAAGATAAATATCCCATCAAAAGCCTCAACAGGATGTCTTGCAATTTTTCTAGCTTTTACAGAAATTCAAGGAAGGCATTTATACTTACATTGTATTTCGTTTCAATTCAATTTTGTTCAAGTTTGGTAAAAGAACCACAGCTCAACTTATATACTTCTTTTCACATATAGCGAAGACTGGCTGTAAATCAAATCATCTAAAGGAACAATTCGTTCAGGCCACTCTCAACTCCCTACACTGTAGGTTAATGGAATAATACCTGTACTCCCCTGGCTAATACCATGAAGAGCGCCGGATTATATCTGACAGGTGTCGGTGCAGGATTCTTCACTGGAGTTATTCCTGCATATGCTGTTGGCGATAAAACTGCTGCAATAGATTTTCAATTGTTGGAACACACTTGCAGACCGGTTTCGAGCTGTTTGGCCACTCGGCAGTGCAAGCTAGTGTCTATCATCAACATAAAGTCGATGATTTTCGATAATTGAAAATCGAGTTCCTTCAGAGTATCATTCCCCGAACTAGGCTGAAGCGCGGACAACAAACAACAGGTTTGTCATCACCCTATCTGCCTGTGAACGAGGTAACCAACCGCATATCCATAGTTTTTGGGAAAGAATGGAGTTAATAGAGCTCTAATAGGTTCTCAGAAACGAAAGTGATAAATGTACGGCAGTGATCATGAATCAACAAACAGCCACATAAAGCCCATTTGTCGATTAGACATGTGATGTCGTTTCAATGGCTAAATCCGTAGAAGTCTTAGAAATACACATGAAATCAATTCAGAGCTATACTAATGTCAAGTTGCGATTTAGTATAGGTAGATCATACAAACCAATGATATTAAAAATGAATGAATATTATTTGATGTGGAATATTTCGTAGTATTTCGCCATTTGAAACATTTGAGCAGGTTGGAGATCTCGTACACAGAAACTTTTTTAATCCTGGAGTGAAAATCTCGTATACAGAAAATTCTTTTAATCCCGTAGTTAAACATGAAGTTATAGATTTGCTTACCATTTGTCTATCACAAAATGATTTCCAATTTAATGCAGGGAAGGATTGATAATAGAAAACCTCTCGAGTCCTTTTCCAACTGAAATTTTCAAGGATAACCTATATAATGAAATTCAATCAGTTCATTAATAATTTCTCATATTGAAATTGATACATAGATGATATATCAGTCTGATTTACTGGTACAGACTGGGCCAAATTGGACACTTTTAAAGGGAAACTCCTGTTTTTAAACTAGATAGATGAAAACTGATGGCGATGTCTGAAGGGCAATTTTCATGACAAATTCAATGGTGACAACCGTATATCGATATCTATCGTCGTTTCTGAGTTACAGAATGTTTTTCGAAAATGTGCATTTCCGAAAAGTTGTTGTAACTCTTTTCTCATGTCAAAAATTTCTTGTTTTCATGTAGAATGTAAAAAACTTATTTTTTCAAATGAGATATCAATAGTTATTGATAGAAAACTATTTTTTAATGAGACACCCCGTATATTCATATTTCAATAGAGCTTAAAATTACCTTTCCAAAAATGTAGCACANTATATTCTACATTCTAAAAGTTATATTCTTTATTCTATATTCAATATGAATTTCTACAAAATAAATGGGTCATCAATCGAACAAACTATTGATATATCATTTGAAAAACTTTGTTTAAATTATTCATAAAAAATGCTTCTTGAATATTTTCATAGAAATAAGAAATTTTTGACAGGAAAAAAGTTACAGCAACTTTTCGAAAATGCACATTTTGGAATAACATGCTGTTACTCAGAAACATAATAGATATGGATATGCGTTTTTCACCATTAAGCTTGTTATAAAATTTGACCCTCATACCCTTGATAGAATTCACCACATCGAGAACACCATCCAACTTTATTGTACATTGACCTACTTTGGAGAACCCACTAATATCAATCGTTTTTTAAAAGAAAGAGTTGAACGTTGTAGAACAAATAATGAACTGAGCAAATTCATTGAAAATAATAGAGACAAAACATCAGTGGCAGATAAATCAGGAGTATATAAGTTACTTGTGGTATCCAACTGATATTGGTCAAAGGGGGAGAATATTTCGCTAAATAACAAAAGAACACTGAAGAAGTTTTTTTAATATGAAGACCAATTTCATATTCGCAACCATTATTTTGCAGAACGATATGGGTTCAATCACGACTGACGTTGTTACATTTGAT